GGCTCAGGACTCAGGTGGCCTGAGTTCTCAAGGGTCAAGGGGGCAGGGGAGGGGTGGTGGTGGGGAGACACTCTTGATTCTTAGCCCAGGCCTGGCTTGGGGCAAGGAGGATAGACTCAGAAATATCAGAGCCTGGGTCCCTTAGAGCCCATTAAAGCTACCCTACTCATTTACAGAAGGGGAAACAGGCCTAAGGGGGAGAAAGCGATGCACCCAAGGTCTCAGAGTAGACTAGTGGCACAGTGAGGCTGGAATCACAGTCTTTATGGTCCCTCAGCCAGCAGGATGGTAGAGAACTGGGTGCCTTGTAGGTCCTGACTTCTCATCACCCAAATCAGTTAGGTCTCCAAAGGTTTGGAACCCTCAGTGGCCCAGAGAACAGTTTCTCAGACATTTGCAGCAAGATACTTGGGACCTCCTCATTCTGACCCTCCTGGCCCTCCTCCAGCCTGGATAGAACCATTCATTAGAGATTTCCCAGGAAGGGCAGTACCTCCAGTGGCAATGATCCCTGGTTGCCTCTCCCACTCGGCATCCTGAAGTTTTCCTCTACCTCCACCCTAAGCCTTGGTCATTCAAACCACATCTTTAAAATAATATAAAGGGGCACCTGGTGGCTCAGTGGTTGAGCATCTGCCTTTGGCTCAGAGTGTGATCCTGAGGTCCTGGGATTGAGTCCCACATTGGGCTCCCCGCAGGGATCCTGCTTCTCTCTCTGCTATGCCTCTGCCTCTCTCTGTGTCCCTCATGAATAAATAAATGAAATCTTAAAAAAATAAAGAATAAAATAGAACATATAGAAAGCACTTAGAACAGCACCTGCCACAAAGTAAGTGCTCTAGGAAGTTCTGCTATTACTATCGTCATTATTATTTCTGCTCACGATGAACAGTGCTGAAGTCAACATCAACAACAATCTCAAAATCAGAAGAGGATGAAGAGGGATTGGAAATGAATAGCTAGTCTATTTCTTCCCATGGGGAAACTCCCCGGTGACCCATTCAAGATATAAACCAGAGATTCCAAACCGAGGCCTGTGTGCTTCACATTCCACCTGCAAGTATTTTTCTTGAGCCCACAGAGCACTATGACATTTTTGAATTTGTTGTTAGCATATAAAAATGAGATTCCTGGCTTCTCTTGAAAAAGCAACAACCCGTTGGAGAGCTGGGTTTAGACCAAGTATTTCCTCCCCACCCAGCCCGGCTCACCCGTTAGCTTTTACCTTCCTGGCTCTGTAGGTCCTCGAGTTCATAAACCTCCTGTCGAAACCATTGCCCCCCCACCCAAACCTCCCCAACAGAGTCTTGGAAGGAACATTTTGCCACAGACAATTTATTTTCTACACCTGCAGCTTGATGGACATGTACCCATTTCATGGTCGATGTTACCACCAGCTACAGGGTTTAGAGATGGGCTCGGGGCTCTCCAGCCTGAGCGGATTGCTTCCCAGAGCTTGGGCAGGCGACCTAAGGAAAAGATCCCGTTGCCGAACAAGGGGAGCTCGGGCAGCTTCATCCCGGGCCTCTGCGGCAGCACAGGTGTGAGGCTCCGGCTCTGAAGCCGGTGCGGGTAACTGGTGCCGGCAGGCTCATCCGTATACTGCAGCGTGTTGACACCCCTGGGGGAAGGCACCATGCAGGTGTTGGTGTAGTTGTCAGAGGCAGCCGTGCTGGTGATGGGACTGGAGTAACTGCGGGGGAAGGAGTGGTCTGGGTGGTCCAGGTGGATGGAGTTGGCCACGCGTTCCAGGTAGTTGGCTGCAAGCCTTGGCAGGCTCAGTGATGACTTGGGACCGTTGGTACAGAAGGCATTGGTGGATCTGTCAAGGTAGTTGATGCCTCTGATGAGTTGGTCCAGGAAGGTGGGGCTGCAGGGGCCCGAGGGACGTTCTGTACAGAGCAGGCAATGGGGGCTGCCGCGGCAAGAGGGCCTTCTGGCCACCTTGGGGTGGTTTGCTAGGTGGCTCGTCTCCACGTACTTGGAGTTGTAGGGGCGGCCCATGCAGATATTCCTCACGGGAAGTCTGGGGGAGCTGGGGCCCTCCGATTGCTCCAAGGGGCCACTGCAGTTACTGAAATCTGAGCTACTGGGGGTGCGGGGACGCTTGGGGCTGTGGGGCCAGGCGGGAGTCTGGGCTGAGGAGGACAGGCTGTTGGGATGGCTCAAGCGGCTGCAAGCATTGGAACGGCTCCCTGGGCGTCCAGACATCGTCCCAGCTGGGCAGATGAGCTTCGTGGTGCCGACCTGCTCTGGGCTCACCCGGAGGCTGGCTACCTGGGCCTGGAGAAGACAGTTGGGTTGGCTCTCCATGGCTCCCTGCCCTCTCCCTGCACATTTTCTCTGCATGTGCTCCCTCTGCCTCCCCAACACCACCCTCCTCCCTCTCCTCCTCCTCCTCCTAGGCCCAGGAATTTTCACACTGGAAAACAGACATCCTATTCTTCAGAAAGCAAGAGTTGAGGAGGAAGGCAAGACCCTTAGAACAACTGAGGCCAGAGGACGACCCTTAGGGACAAGTGAGGCAGTCTCCTTGTTCCTTGAACTCACACCCATATCCTGAAATTTCCCATTTGCCTTTTAAGTAAAGACTCCAGGAGATCACAAAATCCAAAGACTGAATCTCTAATGGGGAAATTCCAAGCACTGAGAGAGACCTTCTCTCCAGGTAATATTAAATAGCTAATCATCAACAACACAATGCACCTGATACTAAAAAAAAAAATGTGTCCTGGAAGTGATGTAACACTATATGCACTGTCCCCACGCCTGGCACTTTGCTTGTGTCTTGCGTGTAATTGCTGCTATGAATCAAGGGGGTGGTCACTATTCTATTTCTGGTTGACAGATGGGGAAACTCAGTCTCAGAGAGATGATGTGACTTGCCTCAGATTCCACAGCTTGTAAGTGGTGCGGCCAAGGTACTATCTTGGATGTGTGTCTGATAACCCCTCAAAGACAAGGCTATTTTGGGGTGACTTCGGCCCCCCCTCACAATCTCTTTAGGAAGAATTCTCACCACATCTCCTCTGCCTGCTAGATGGGAGCACTAATGGGGAGAACCAGAGGCGGGGGCACTTGCTAAACCCCAGCACTAAGTTGATCCTGACTTTAGGAATCCCAAATGAGGGGAGGGGGTAGTATGACAAGTCCACCAACGGGGCTGGACTTGTAAGGTCACAGTCTTCCAGGAGATGTGGTCTTGACCCTCTCTGGCCGTAGGGGGTCTCCTCATCCACTCCACAAGAGCAGGGGGCATTGGGATCCCTACTCGTTGTGGTCTGAATGTAGGCACTTCACTGAGATTAAGGCCTGGCCAGGCCCAGAAGATGCTCAGTTCATGTACCCCCATCTCCTGTCTCAGCCTGTCTCCCCTCCTTGTCCCCCTGTCCCTGGGTTCCTTAATACTCCCCTACCCTCAACCAGGAGGAAGGCTCCACTCTCTCTCCCCCAAGACTGCCAGCTTGATGCTAATTTCCCACTTCTGCCCAGTGAGGACAGAGCAGTATCTGAGCCTGTCCCACCCAGGAAGCAGCTGCCTGCCCCTCTTCCAGCCCACGGCCCTCAGCTGCCGTTGTCTTTTGGGTCTGAATCGAGTGGAATGTACAGACCCTTGGCTCTTCCCTTTCAGGTCCAACCCCACCCTGTCTCCTCCTCTGGAAATACAGGAGGTGGCTGAGGGGTGACCCGCACAGTGCCCGACCCCTCCCTCCCCGGCTGACTGGGCCCCATCTGCCACAGGGCCCCCTCCCACGCTCACTCTGTCTTTAGGAGGTAGATGACTTAGCCCTCCTGTTGCTCTCCCCTGGAGATACCTTCATGCCGCCACTCCAGACTGCTGGCCATGTCATAGAATCATGGAATCCTAGAGCTGGGAGGGGCCTCCAGAGGTCATCCTGGCCAGGCCCCTGCCTCAGGGCCAGCACCACATTAAGCCCTCCAGGACAGATGGGCCCTATTTTTAAAACGAGACTGGGGTGGATGTTTTCCTGCATGTCTTGTTGTTTTTCTAGTGTTTAATTATGCTGAGAGTCAAGAAGTTTTATGCTGGCCCTGATATAACTCCCATTGGCCGTGGTCAGCATCAATCACTTCCCTTTTCCCACTGGCTCAGCAAACATTTATTGAGTCTCCCCAAAGTGCTAACCCTTGGAGTGACCCATTCTTGAGCATAACTGCTCTGTGTCTCCTGCCCGCTGAGGTCAGCGATCCAGCGTGGAGTATCTAGCACACGGCGGGCTCTGGCCAGAGCCTGAGGACTCCGGCCAGCAAATCTCAGGACCTCCATGGCCCTCACCCAGCCCTGGTCCCTTGGGGGCATCCAGTACATTTTTGCCAAGAAAAGCCTCCCTCCATCCAGTCCTCTCAAATATTAAAAATACAGTTTTACTTTTTATTTTTGAAAAATTTTCAAACTTCCTGAGAACTCACAAGACAACAAATTCTGTAGTCTTTATCCAAATCCACAAATTATTAATGCTCTTGCCACGTTTATCACTGCATGTGCGCACACACACACACACACAACTATTGTTTTGAGAGGACGTTGCAGACAACACCATCTTTTACCCCTGAACACCTGGGCATGGATCTCCTACATGCTGAGTAGACAGGGACATTTTCTTTTTTCTTTTTTCAAGTTTTAGATATTTATTTATTTGTATAAACCCTAACACGATACATCAACATGATTTCTTTCTTTCTTTTTTTTAATTTAAGACTTTATTTTTTTTTTCACGAGAGAGACAGAGAGAGAGGCAGAGACATAGGCAGAGGGAGAAGCAGGCTCCTTGCGGGGAGCCCAGTGTGGGACTCGATCCCTGGACCCTGGGATCACACCCTGAGCCAAAGGCAGACACTCAACCACTGAACCACCCGGGCGTCTCCATCAACATGATTTCATGCATTAGAGGGGAAATACTTCCTGGATAAGTGGAAAATTGTGCGAATGACTCCTGGAAGACCTTCATTCTAAGTAGCTTTATAGTGAAACCTTTCATTTAGAAGTCTGGACCTTCTTTCTTTAGTTTGCTGTAATCTATCTTCACTGAGTAGAGCTTGTACTGATCATGGGGACCCAGTTTTTTCCAGGATTCTGGGTAATTCTTCCTATCCCAACTGACCTCTGGATCGAACAATGCCAGGCCCAAGATGTACAGCACTGCTCCAGTACCTTCCACGCCAATAAATACGAAGAGGAGGATCGAGCTCGGATGCTTCATGGCCTGACCCAGGATCTGGCGTCACACGATTGTGCCAGGGGCCGCCGGTCCAAGAAAAGAACAGATCAAAGCTGGACACTAAGTAGTCCCTACACCAAGAATGAATGGACGTCTCGAACATGTTCTTACATCCCCATACTGCAGTGGCCAAATACAGGATGTTTGGCAGGGGTCGAGTACGACCGTCTAACATACAGTCCACATTGACATTTCACCGATTGCCCCTGTGATGTTCCTCACGGCAACTCTTCATCCCACACCAGATCCAACCCAGGAGCACGCGTGGCCTTTGTCCTCAGGTATCTTTGGTTTCCTTCACCCTTCCTTTGTCTTCCGTGACAGGGACACATTTGAAGAGCACGGGCACGTTGTTCTGGAGAGGGTTCTCCGGTCTGGGTTTAATCTGATGTTTCTGAGTGATCAGACCCAAGATCATCGAGTGCTGTAACATAGAAGCCTCAGCCTGGGCCCTCCACAGCCCACAGCCACTAAGGGTGAAAGAAAGTCCTTTCTGCCTGGGGTGGGGTGGTTATAGTTGCTGAAACGGGGAGCCAAGAGGAAGGATCAGAGGGCCCCCAAGGAGGAAGAGTGGGAAGCTCCGTGGACCAGGGAAGCAGTGTCTACAGTTCCCTTGTAGGGCGTCAGCCTGGCCTGGTTCTCCTCTGGCCTGGGGGCCGGGCAGGCAGGCAGGCAGCCAGCGAAGGGTTGGGCCTCTGCCGTCTGTCCTGAAGGTACCCAGGCATCGAGATCATTGGCCATTTCTGGCCTGGGCACTAAAAGCCTCTGGAAATAGCCCCAGGACAATTATTTTAGGAGGAATGTGCTATTCCTCCATCTTCCCAGAAAGCCAGGCTGTGTCCCAGAAGATCGATACCGTCCCTCTCTGGCCTCCCCCAACTCCAGGGGCTCTCTAGGTATTCTGGGGGCCATAGAGGCCTCCAGAGCCAGAAGGGGCAAGGAGCCAAAAGTAGAGTCAAGGAGACTAAAAGCGCTTTTCCCAGGTGGGGGGGGGGGGAGGTTCTGTTCTTAGATCCTGAGCTCTCAGAGCCCAGTCTTGAGTCATGCTGGCTGGTTAGGGGCCAGCTGACCCCAAGCATGAAGACACATGAGGAGGAGGGTATGGGGAAGCTGCCTGCCCTACCCCACGCCCAGCCCCATTCCCAAGAACCTGATATGCAAGTGTACCTGCTAGGTGCTAGCACCTTCTACCCTCCCATTTAATCCTCACAGCGCCCCTAAGAAGTGGTAGTTGGTTTTTCCAATAAGGTCATTGAGACACAGAAAGGGCAAGGGACTTACCAAGCTCACCCCACATTCAAAATTAAAACCCAGGGTTCTGGCTCTATCCAGAGGGGGCTACTCCTCTCACTCAGTGAGGACACAGTAAGTGACTCTGTGAACTGAGTGGCACTGGGAGCGGTCCAACCTGGAGACACAGGCTGGTGGGCAGCCTTAGCTCTGTCCCCCGCCAAACCCCATCCTCCACCACCCAGCGAGCCCAGCTGCCTCTCCCTCTCTAGCACTGTAGGGATGAATGCCAGAGTCTCAGAATGTTCTGGGTGGGTGCCCTACACAGTCTCCAGCCACAGAAGCCCCTACCCTTGCTCCACCGGTCCAGCTCCAACAGTGGATCCTTAGCTCCATTGCCAAAGCCAGCTGGGCTTTGCTTCATCCCTTGCCCCTCCCTCTCCCCTCACCCCCCTGCATCCCACCCGGGCCGTTCAACCTATCCCCTCCTGTGCCCCACCATGTCCATTGGGGGCCCCTTCTCTATCCTAGGCATGAGGAGTTTCCCCGAGGGCATCTCATTCCTTCGGGCTCTCCCAGAATGGAGGGAACAGCCTCCTTCTCCAGAGACCTTAGGACCCTGCCCCATTACCCTATATACTGTTTATTAACCACCCCACACCCCCACACCTGCCACTCAGCAGCTGCTCTTCTCCCCTGTGGCCTGAAATGGTGTTCCCATGTCCTTTCTGTCACATGGCTCCTGGAAGCATCAAAGATAAGGAGCAAGCAGAGCTTGGCAGTCCCAAGCATGAGCTCAGCGGCTGCAAGCATGAGACCCCCACATCAGTCCAGGGGACAGCGAGAGCCAAGGGCCATGAAACTTCCTTGGCTGTCCCACCCTGCCTGAGGACTTCTGTGCCCGGCCTCAGGCAACTATTAGCAGTGTGACTCACCTGAGTTCTTACCTGGCATGGGACCAGCTTGCCTGCAGGAATGAAAATCTCTGCTGGGCTGGGTTCTGGCCCTCCCCGTAGCTACAGGCTTTCACCCTCCCAAGCACGGTGAGTCACATACCCTCATTCCCCCAACACTCTCAAGGATAAAGGCCCTCTGCTCACCAGCTGCCAAAACAGCCTTCCCCGAGCCCACATGTGGCAGGTACAAGCCGGGACAGATTTGAGCTCAGAAGCACTGGGGCAGGTGTGGCTTGGCAGGAGCCCCAGCCAACAAGAACTTCCCTCCTGCCAAGCCACCTTAGGGATTTGGGTAGAGTAGCCAAGGTGGGAGGGCACAGGGCTCCTGTCATCAGGAAATTCCCTCCAGGGGAGGTGGGGACGATGGGCATCCGTAGGTTTATCAACCACCTTGCTGGGAGAAGACATAGGAAGTAGACAGCACGTAACTGGCTCATGCTGCACCCTTGGGTGAGTGGCTTCACGTCTTCAAACCTCAGTCTGCCGGTCTGCAAAAGGGGCAAGGAAGGTACTCAGTGGACCCTGTAGACTGACTGTGTGAGAAATGCCTCCTCTGCTTGCAGGTACTGTGGAGCAGCAGGGGCATGCCGGAGTCAGCTCGTCCTGGCCCCTGAGAGCCAAGTTGTTCAATATTCTGGAATTTGATGAACAGGCTGCTAAACCCCTGGTAGCTTGAAATCAGCCATGGTGGGAATGTTCATATCACAGGAATTGGCAGAGCAACAAATCAGGTGCATCTCTTTGTGTTTCTTTTCTGAGACCCAGTTCACCAGCATAGCATCGGCAGCTGTGCGACTGTGGCCAAGTGACTGAACCTTTGTGAACTTCTGTTTCCTTATCCATAAAACCATTATAATAATGGCCTGTGTGTATCTAGGCCTCACCGCGTCCCAGCTGCTGTATGTCTGTGTCACTTTCTGTGTCCACTTGGTTGGGTCACCTTGATGGGTGTGCCTGCGTGTCTGGTTAAACCTTATTTCCGGGTGTGTCTGTGAAGATGTTTCTGGAAGAGGGTAGTATTTGAATTGGTGGGCTGAGGGAAGCAGACCCCAGCGTGGGTCAGCATTACCCAACTCGCTGAAGGCCGGAATAGAACAAAAAGGTTGAATTTGTTCTCTGGAGGCCCTGAGTCTGGCCATCACCCCAACATCAGACCTCCTGGTCCTAGACCTCCAGACCTGGATTGACATCTACACGACTAGGTGTCTGGTTCTCAGTCCTTTGAACCACACCACCTGCTTTCCTGGGCCTTAGCCTCATAATGTGTGAGCCAAGACCTGACAATAAATGTCTTCATATAGACAGATGATAGATAGATGATTGATTGATGTGCACATGTATCTATAGACTGAATACACATCTATATATACTAAAAGTTTGTGTTCCCTCAAAATTCCTCGGTTGAAGGATCCCTGGGTGGCGCAGCGGTTTGGCGCTTGCCTTTGGCCCAGGGCGCGATCCTGGAGACCCGGGATCGAATCCCACGTCAGGCTCCTGGTGCATGGAACCTGCTTCTCCCTCTGCCTGTGTCTCTGCCTCTCTCTCTCTCACTGTGTGACTATCATAAATAAATAAATAAATAAAAATTTTAAAAAAAATTCCTCGGTTGAAACCTAGCCCCCAGTGCAGTGGTTAAGGGGGGGGTTGGGGTCTTGGAGAGTGGAGCCCTCCTGGAATTAGCGCCTCAAAGAGCATCCCCATCCCTTCCTTCATGTGAGGACACAGCAAGAAAGCGCTTCTGTGCCCCAGGAAGCGGGCTCTTACCGGACACTGAGGCTGCCAACGCCTTGATCTTAGACTCCCAGGCTTCAGCACCGTGAGAAATAAAGGGGTGTTATTTCAAGGCCCCCCAGTCTGTGGCATTTTGGTATCACAACCTGAACCCAGGCTAAGACATCTCTCTAGTTCTCACTGCTTCTGTTTCTCTGGAGAAGCTGCCTACTGTACGGCACTAAGTGCTCTAGGCGCATGCACTCTTGTGTCACTCGTTCCAACCTTACGAGGTAGATATGACTAGCACCCCCATTTTTCAGATGAGACTCTGAAGGGCAGAGGTGAAGTAATGCACCTAAAGGAACACGGACAAGGTTAGGAACCCAAGCAATCTGCCTGCCAATAGCAGTACCTACCACCGCTCGGGCTGTCACCGCTTTGTCATTTATGAAGCATCTACTGAATGGAGACACTGTGCTGAGCGTTTTCCACATGTAACGGGTCCACTCCCAAGCCGTCCGCCTTCTGGGGTTCCTTTTCCTTTATTTTATTTTTTTTTAAAGATTTTATTTATTAATGAGAGACACAGAGAGAGAGAGGCAGAGACACAGGCAGAGGGAGAAGCAGGCTCCATGCAGGGAGCCCGACGTGGGACTCGATCCCGGGACTCCAGGATCACACCCTGGACTGAAGGCAGACGCTCAACCACTGAGCCACCCAGGCTGCCCCTTTTCCTTAAATAATCAAGTAAGGCAGCTCAGGGGTGCCTGGGTGGCTCAATCCATTAAGCAACTGTTTTTGGCTCAGGTCAGGATCTCAGGGTCCTGGGATCGAGCCCCACGTCGGGCTCCCTGATGAGCAGGGAATCTGCTTCTCCCTCTGTTCCCCGCCCCCCCATTCATGCTCTCTCTCTCTCTCAAATGAATAAATAAGATCTTTTAAAAAAATGAAAATAAAACAAATACAGCAGAGCAGCTCCGATGGCCTGGCGGTTTGGCGCCACCTTCGGCCCAGGGCCTGATCCTGGAGACCCAGGATCGAGTCCCACATTGGGCTCCCTGCGTGGAGCCTGCTTCTCCCTCTGTCTATGTCTCTGCCTCTCTC